AGGCTGCAGTGGCTGGGAGCGGCCGCTGCACTCCAGTCTGGGCGACAGAGTGAGACTCCAGACTCAAAAAAAAAGGTCCTTGCCAGACACTGACCAAGCTGGTGCCCTGAACCTATGGACTTCCAGCCTCCAAAACTGTGAGAAATAAACTTTGGTTGTTTGTAAGCCACCAGTCTATGATAAATTGATAGAGCCGCCAGAATGGACTACAACAACCCAGGAATGGTCCCTCCAGCCCCACCCAGATGGAAGGGAGTATCAGAAGGCAGAGCTCTTGGCCCACCCCTCTGCCTAGCCCCGCTTGGTCCTGCCTCATGGGGTCTATCTACTTTCTTTCCTCTCCCTCTCAAAGAGACGGGCAGGTCCTTTCTGCATGTGGGCCCTTCCTGAGGCAACCTGTGAGGAGGAGGATGAGGAGACAGGGAGATAGGGGGCTCAGCTGCTCCTACCAGTCCCCTCCTCCTATCCTTTGTGAGCGCAGATAGCCCAGAGCCTACTGGCCTGTGCCCCACCCAGTTCTGGGTTACCAAGAGGGCCCAAATTATACCCACAGTTCTCACTAGAGGTGTAGCCTTTCTCAGATCACTTAACTAACTGAATTTTGTTTTCCTTAATTCAAATGGGCATACAAATAATACCTTTATTTATTTTTTTGAGAGCTCTCCTTCACCCCTCTCATATGCAGGCAACTCAATGCCTGTTCTAGGAAAGCAGGTGTCTGGCACCTGCAAAACCTCCTCGCAGGCCCGTCTCCCTGTACCTTCCTGCTTCCCCAGACTGAACTGGGTGTGACCTGCATGAGAAGCAGGACAGTTCCAGTCCCAGCCTGTTCCCTGTGGCTCCCAGCACCAATCAGCTCCTTGTCCCCAGGAGGAGGAGGACAAGGCTCCAGGCTTCCTCATTGCCAGTGTTCCCTTCCCATCCCTATCTATACTCCCATCCCAGGCCCAGCATCCTGGCCTTCTGCTGCTTTGCACTCCGGACACTGGCCAGCTCCCAGCCTTCATGGCCAGGTCCCCACCAGGTCTTGGCAACCCCACAACCAGAGAGAAGGACCTAGACAAAGCCACAGATGGAGCTCAGCCCTAGGAGCTTCCTTTGCTGAGCAAGGTTCCAGCTCCCTGTAGGACCACGGTCAAGTCTGTGCCCAAGCTGAGCAAGGGGTGGGCTTGGGAACCATCTCTTCACTCTTATCCTAGATCCTACTTCAAAAGGGGATCGGCCCTTGGTCCTGCTCTGGCTTCCTGACCCTGCTGTGGAGGAAATGCTTCTTTCGAAAACTGCTGGAGACAAAGGGATGGGACAGAAGGAGGCAAAACAACAGAGAAGAGCTCAAGTGTGGGGTGCAGCTGGACAGACCTAGGCAAGTCAGTCTGGCACCCAAAAGGCCCATGGCCCAGCCTAGACCCTGGAGCCAACAGAACAAGGACAGAATCTCTACTCCTGAAGGGGCTGAGCAGCCGTTTTAGAGTCTAGAGAGCCCTGGAGCTTTTCCTTCTGAGCTCCTGGGGCCAGGCAGGAAACAGAGATGAGTGAAGGAGTGGGTGTCAAATGACTCTCAGTCACAGAGGTGAAGACAACTGGGAGCAGTGGGGACTGAAGCAAACGGGAAAGCCCCACGCAGGGCCACTGCCAGCCTTATGTGCAAATATAAGGCTTTGTTCAAATAAAGAAAGTCCACCTCTAGGATGACACAGATTTGCATCAGGGCCCATGGACTGGTGGGCAGAGAGGGCTGGATTGTAATTATCTGCTGTCTTTCCCTACCCCAGCCACCTCTTTGCATATATGTCTTTGTGCAGGGTACAATCTGTATAGCTGTACATGTTGGTTCTGGCCCCACCTAACAGGGATGGGGCTTCAGACCTGTAGGAATAAGACTTCATGTGGCAAGAGCCTCCAGTTTTTCAAGGGCAGTTGAATATAAGGGTCATGTGAAAAATTCTGGTTTTTAAACGTTGGCAATAAAGTCACCCTGTGGGCTAAACAAAATCAGTCTATGCTGATGGTGCCAAGGGAGGGCACCTCAGGCCCACCCTCTTGGTGCCTGTAGGAGGGGCTTGTCTTCCTTGGCCATGAAGCTGCTCTGCCCAGACAGGTGCCCACCTCACACCCCGGGACCTGGCTGGCTCAGACCACAGCTGCCCTACCGGCTTGGGGCAGTGGATGTAGCGCGCCAGGCTGATGATGAGGTCGTGTGTGATGGGATCCACCAGGTTCCGGAAGCTGGCGTAGCGATACAGAACATCATCCAGCGAGGTCGACTCCATGCCCAGGTCCTGCAAGAGCAAAGGATGCCCAGAGGTCAGGAGTGGCTGCCCACTGAGTTTGCCCAGCTTCCTCAGAGAAGCGGGCACAGGGTCCTGGAGACGGTTCAGCTTCCCCAGAGCCCTGGCAAAGAAGTATCTACAGAGCTTCCTCAGGGGCCAGGACAAAGTCCCTGCCTGCTTTTCTTTCTGAGTCTCTGTAGTTTGTGCAGGTTCCAGTTTGCGGACCTCTCCCAAGATAGCCTCCCCAACCTTTGTCTCTCTGGTTTCTTGAAGGAGAAAGCCAAGGTGGCCAACCTCAGCGCTAGTGGCTGCTTCTCCTTGGGGCAAAATTTGGAATTGGCATGTATAGCAAAATTCCTTTGCCTTGTGACAGGCTCGTTCACTGATACTTGTGTTTTCTTCCTGCTTTTGAAGTTCTTTTCACTGCTCCTTCTGTCAATGATGCAACCTCAGTGTTCCTTTGCCTTAAGGGTTTTGGAGTTGTGGAGTTGTAAGGAGAAGCTGCCAGGCACCCAAGAGAAAACCCCACCAAGACTCCCTCAGAAGGGTACTAAGTGGGGTTCTCTTAACGGGAAGAGAGAGGGATGAAGGAAAGTGCTACTGGGGGTGGGGGGAGCAGCGGCAGAAGATGCAGGAACAGAGGTTTCCCAGGTCTAAGGAGGAACAAAGGTTTGGGGGCTCAGGCCACACTACCCCAGAATATGATACTTTGGCATTTGCGGGAACAATAGACTTAGTAGGTCTCTCTGACGGTCTGCTGGGGAGTGGACCATAAAAAAACTCTCGGACCTTCCTCTAAAGTGGGTCATAAGGCCCTTGAGCTAGAAACAGTTATTGCTGTAGAGGTAAAGAAACATGATTTGTCTACCCGAGGGTGTTGGAGTAAACCTTGTGCCTTGTGCCTCTCTATGTGAGAATGTGGGCATACCTCCCTTTCCTCGAGCCCCTTCCCCCTAATTTCTGCCATCCTTGGGTGTGTGAGCTGTGATTTCTGACCCTAGCTTGGCACCTTGTACAGACCAGGCAATGATGACATTCCCACCTGGGGAATGTGGAATGCCCCTACTCCACCCTGAGGAACAAGGGATGCCCCCAGGTGGTCAGGGAAAGCCCCCATCCCACCATGTGCTGTCCTCATCTGAAGCCCTGTAGGCCCTAAAGCCCCACCCAGAACTGCCTCAGCACAACTTAGAGGAGGAAAGCTCCCAGCCCGGGCGGCCAGGGTCCAGCGACCTGAGGACATAATGTTCTGGACAGGGAATGTGTGGGTAATCAACTGAGTTCCAGCAGGGGTTTGCTCCTTGCCATTTGTTGGGATAGTTGAACTTTACTTACTTTTTTTTCTGAACTTGGAGTCTCATTCTGTTGCCCAGGCTGGAGTACAATGGCACGCTCATGGCCACTGCAACCTCAGCCTACTAGGTTCAAGCGATCCTTCCACCTTAGCCTTCCAAGTAGCTGGAACTTCAAGTGTGTGCCACTACGCCTGGATAATTTTTTTAATTATTGTAGAGATGAGTTCTTGCCAAGTTGCCCAGGCTGGTCTCAAACCCATGGGCTCAGGCAATCCTCTCGCCTCAGCCTCCCAAAGGGCTGGGATTACAGGCATGAGCCACCGTGCCCAGCTATATTCTGAACTTTTCTAAATACATTCCCCACATGATTCTTAGAAATCCTTGGAAGGCAGGCAGGCTGGGCATCATTATTCCCATTCTATAGATAAAGACATCAAGGCCCACAGCGGCTGCCTTCCTCAATGGTCAGAATTTCAGAAAGGGGGGTGGCCTAGGCCTCAGCCTGGGACCTGTTCTGCATGGATCACATCTACTCTCTTCTGCCACGGATGTAAGCTGGGCAGGAGGTGAGTGGAGGGCAGGGATGCAGCTCCGTGGTTTGGCGGCTGGCATTTCAACAAACAAAGAAAGGATCTCTGCCAGATGAATCTAGAGGGGCCAGGGTGCCACGCCTCTAACCTTGGGTGAGTCCCTCAGAGCCCATGTGCCAGCTGGGTCCTACCTGTGGAAGTCAAGGGACACTCTGTTCCCTACCCCCTCATTACAGCTTCATTCAAGCGTCACTGAGGACACAATGGGCCAGTTTTGAGGGCTGTTTTCCACGTGGCAGAAATGAATCTCAGAGGCAAACTGCCAGGCCCTGCGCCAAGTTCTCTGGCTGCTGAAATCATTTACTGGGGACCTGGATCCAAGGCTCAAGGTCTGGCGGGGATGCAGCGGAGGGAAGTTTCTGAAGCGCCGGCCACCAAGTTTTAGAGCCGGGTCCTCTGCAGAACCAAGGACAACACTCACATCAGATCTATGTCCCTGCCCTGGCTTATTCAATCCCTCAACTTAAGTGCTGTGTCCTAAGGCAAGCAACCTAACATCCCTGAGCCTCAGTTTCCTCATCTGTAAAATGGGGACAGGGACCTCAGCATCACAAGTAGGTGACCGAAATGAGACCAACCAATATATGTAAAGCCTCTAGAAGGGAAGAGAAGTACCAGTAGTGGCCCCTCACCTTACATCATTTCTGTCCCCTCCTCTCTGAAAGGCCCGATTCCCTTATGCAGTGATTCCTAACCTCTTTTTGGACCACAGACCCATTTCAGAATGTACCAAAAGCCGTGACTTCTCTCCCTAGAAAAACACAGGCGTCAGGCCGGGTGGGAGGGCGCCTGGGCACACGTAACCCATGCTGGCCTCATGGTAGGAGGGTGTGTTGGAGTTGTGTGAACATGTGGGATCCCAGGACAGAAACCATCACCCGGGAACGCACAATATCATGGCCCCACCCTCCCTGGGACAGGAGGAGGCTGGAACACAGAAAGGCCAAAAGTCAAAGAGCTTAAGTTCCAGGGTCTCCTTAGGCCTGTGTGGTCAAAAAGGCTGTGGCCCAGCATCTGGCTTGCCAGCTTGAGGATTCCCTTTTCACGGACGGGGAGGTGGGGAAGGAGGGCAGAAGAAGAAGAGGGCAGAAACAGGGGTGGTTATTCCCATGGTCAGAGGCTAGACTTGTGGCTTTGGGGAGGAAGTTGGAGGTATGGAGTTAGTTCTCGTATAATCCGTCATACAAGCTGAGCTGCTCCTCTGTGGCTGGTGACTTAACACCAGCCTCCATCCCTCCTTCGCTTTGCCCGTGTGCCCGTCTTGCCTGTGTGTATCCCTGGCACCTAGTGGTCTCCCCCTCACAGCAGTCCCTGCTGCCTGTCCCCAAATGCCCAGGGAAAAAGCACTGGATTGTAGGCCCTGGCTGACTCACTACTCACTGTAAGACTGTGGCAAGAGATGTCCCTCTTGGGATTTGTTTCCCCATCTGTGAAAAGGGCAGATGAACCACACTAGCAGTTATCAAACTGTGTTCTAAGATCTTGGTGGGGGAGGCAAGGATAACCAGTAAGGCTTTTGGTTACAAACAAGCAAACGTAGTACTCCCAAAGAAAAGTTTCAGAACCCCAGACTAGATGATTGCCTGGGTTTCTTGTGCTCCTACCAGCCCTGCCCCATCTTCAAAGAACCCTACACATCTCCCAGTCAGTTGAGGATGTCCTGCTGTAGCAGGACCAAGAAAACCCTAGCTGCCAACGCAGGAGCCTGGAGCAGGTCTGAGAAGATGCCAAATGTCCTTCCCTGGAGCCCACTCTCCTGTCATCCTCTCTGCCCACCCTATCACCCTGGGCGCCCAGTGAGCCGACAGTGGCTCTTTTTGGAGTGTTGCCTGGGTCCACATAGTTGTTGCTTGGGAGAGAGAAGGGAGCAGCAAGAAGGAAGGAGGGTCTCCCAGGAAGGTAGCTTTGGGTCACTGGTCATGGCTAGCACCTGCCTGTGAATTCCAGCCAGGTTGGTGCTCCCCAAGATCCCAGGGCTACAAGAGGCAAAGCCAGATAGAGACGGGCCAAAGGTTGCAGCGTACATTACTGCGTACATTTTCTTTATCTCCACCTCACCTAGGTCCACAGAATGCTAGTGTTGCTTTAGGATACTTCACAATCCCAAGGATCTCTGGCCACTTCCGGTCTCCTTGGTGTCCTCTCCACGCCCTTTCCCCTAAGTCAGTTTATTAGGGAGGACTGTGTCACCAGATCCTGGAGGCTACCCACAGGGCTAGGTATGAGGGAGGGGGGCTCATCAGATCCTCAGGTGTCTCGGGAGCCTGCAGCATGGGCAATAGCCCAGGGAGTGGGCTTGTCTCTGACTTTACACCCATGGCCCACACTGACACTACTCCAACACTCCCCTCTGCCCTCTCAGGAAGAGATAAAAGCAGGGTGGGCACATCAGGCCTGCTGCATACACGAGGGAAGTGGAGGAATCAGATCCAGATGTGGTCCCTACAGGCCTGCCTGGGCATGGCGCTAGCCTGGGAGGGGCTGATCTACCTTGCAAAGCCTGGGGCACTGAGGAAAATCCCACCTTCCTCATTATGGAACAAAACGGTGCCACCTCTAGGAACTGTGTCTGTGGACAGTTCCTCATCAGAAAGTCTGGGAACACCAGCAGGTGCGTCTGAGTCACCCACCGCTGTGAGGAATGACACTTGGAGTGTGTGGTTGGCCTGGCACAGAGTCACTCACTTGGTCCCTGACTGAGCTGCCAGAACTGTGGCCAACAGCCAGCACATGGCATTTCAAGGAAGTGAACCCCACATGACTAAAGCTTGAATAGCCAGGTTGGGGGACTCACTGCAATAGGACAAAAGATGACAGACCGGGGTTAGGGGCACGGGTTTCTGAAAAGTGAGTAGAGATTCCCACAGGGAGGTCAGAACAGAATTTCTCAATGTGTGGTCTAAACACTTCAGGAAGGGGCCCTCAAGACTGCTTCAGGGGTGCTGGGGGGGGTCCTTTATTCCAGTAATACACCTGTGAGGTGCTAGATTTTCTTCATAAATATCAATCAAAACAACTTGTCATAAGACCCAAATGCAGAAGCAGTAGGTGTGAGAACCCAGCTGTCTTCTAGGAAGTCAGACATTAAAAAGAGGCACAGAAACAGAAAACAATGCTACTCTTC